TTGCTTGGATAGCTCCTATAAGATTCTGACTATAATAGGGAGGAGATGTATCATCTCACTGACACAAAAGCCACACATCTTTGCCAATATGAACCCCAAGGTAGCCCTTTCCATGCCACAGAGACATAATATTGCTGCAGTGTGGTCTCAATGTGGATCTGGTTTCAGAAGGGATGCGAGTTTAGATTTCTTCACAGGATGATGTATAGCAGGGGTAGGCAACCTTTCCCCTTTAAGGGCCGAGGGACTTCAGCTCCCAGAATCCCAGGAGCTATTGGCCAACATGGGACTATTGGCCAACATGGCTGAGGCTTCTGGGAGCTGAAGTCCCTCGGCCCTTAAAGGAGAAAGGTTGCCTACCCCGAGCTTGGCAAACAATAGGATGCAGGAGACCCTCCAGGAGATTTAGAGCAGGGGTTTCCAATGGATGTCAGAGGTTTGGGCCTTCAACCTCCAAAATCCTTGAGCACCGACCCATGCCACCTGCAGCTTGGAGTGGAAGTCCACAACATCTAGTCGACCTAAGGCCCTTGGACTACTAGAGTATTGGATGGAAACATCCAATAGAAAGGAAATCAGAAGACTTGTAATTCTTGTAACCACCCAGAAAAAGATATTCTGCACCTACCCATCCTTTGAGACCTCAGATCAGGTAGCGATGCCACAAATAGCAGCCAGGCAATGAATCTGCTTTGGTTTTCAGTCTAAACTTGAAGGTCCTGAATTGATGGTGGAATTAGGGGTAGGCAACCTTTCCCCTTTAAGGGCCGAGGGACTTCAGCTCCCAGAATCCCAGGAGCTAATGGCCAACATGGGACTATTGGCCAACATGGCTGAGGCTTCTGGGAGCTGAAGTCCCTCGGCCCTTAAAGGGGAAAGGTTGCCTACACCTGATGGAAATAATAGGGCCTCTGAAAGCTCTTCCCAGAATAACTTCTGTCTGGTGGGAGATGAGTCTTCATCTTGTTTTATTATTCTGATCCCTTGTTTTATTGTTTTTTTCATTTTATTGTATTGTATTGTTGTATTTTAACTTTTCTCTAGTTCAATTCTGTTTTAAGGGGATGGGAGGGTTGCAATGTGGGATAAGGGAATGTTTTAACTCTGTGCAGAGGGGTGGGCTATAAATAAAAATTTATTATATTATTATTATTATTATTATTATTATTATTATGTTCATGATAAAACCCAGTACAGATTCACCATGCCATAAGCATGGAAGCCACCAACTATATGTGCATCAGGTGATGCCAAAGTCAATCCCATGCCATTTGCTGGCATCATGATCCTGGCATCCCTCCATGGAGGTATTTCCTCAGTGATTGGGAACTGGGTTATCTCTCCATTATCTCAACATTAGGAGGAACTTCCTGACAGTAAGGGTAGTTCGACAGTGGAACACACTCCCTCGGAGAGTAGTGGAGTCTCCTTCATTGGGGGTCTTTAAGCAGAGGCTGGATGGCCATCTGTTGGGGATGCTTTGATTGGGAGTTCCTGCATGGCAGGGGGTTGGACTGGATGGCCCTTGTGGTCTCTTCCAACTCTATGATTCTATGATTCTATGATTCCACATAGCTACGTTGGCCTACTGACCATTGGATCTGATGGTTTGCCATTGAGGAATATTTATAGACTGCAAACGGAGGGAATACTCGGGTATTTTTTGAATGGTGCAGTAATTACAACAGTATAGGAATTCACTAAACACACATGGCAGAAAACACCTAGAATCATTCTTCAGCATTATATATATATATATATATATATATATATATATATATATATAATGACCAAGTTGTAGATATCAAGTTGAACATGAATCAACAGTCCTAGTAACCACAAGTTGAACATGAGTCAAAAATGTGATGCGGCAACTAAAAAGGCCAATGTGATCCTAGGCTGCATCAACAGAAGTAGCGTCCAGTTCTGGGCCCCACAATTCAAAAAGGATGTTGACAAACTGGAACGTGTCCAGAGGAGGGCCACCAAAATAGTGAAAGGTCTGAAAACCATGCCTTATG